ATTGTAAATTGCAAGACTCAAATGGAATCAACTCCTTCTGCTATTTGCAGCTTTGCTATTCATTGGCATTAGAGGCAGACTCTTTGGAAACACTTCATAGCACTGTTTAAGGACTTTCAATTTTCTGTTTTGTGTAATGTAACCTAATGTATTCAAAAGTGACTCTGAAAGTATTCTTCTACCGTAAGTATAATGGGATGATTACATTACTACGGAAATTTGGGAAATTTATACAAATATGATGACAAATTCTCTGTTTGACTCAGGCTGCTTGTGCATGTTTTCCCCCTCTCTCTCTGCCTGCCCCGCCTCTTGATCTGTGCTAGGGATGTATTCGTAGATTGGTGCTTATTTTGGAACAATTACCAAAGCTTCTGTGGTCCCTCTTGTAAGGGTCTCTTAGACGAGGAGGGAGAAGCTACAGGTGTCTCATACTCCAGCAGGGACACAGCCCTTGCTCTTCAGTGCCTTTGCCGGGCTCTGCAGCCCCATGTCCCCACCATGGGCAAATGTTTCATTCCACTGGCTGTGCAGCCTGGCTGGGAACATCTGAGCCTGGGATGAGGCAAAGATGAGGCAAAGGGGTGTTTCAGGTGAAGGTGAGCCAGAGGCTTAACCTGAGTACTGCTAGGAGCGGAACAAAGCAGAGTTTTATATTATATTTCTTTTGTAACCTGCTCCTCTCGAGCTTTGCTGCTTCTTAGTAGTGCTAAGGGTTTAGAGCATCTGTGCACCAGAAAGCTTTCCTAAATCAATAGTCTCCTGCAGCTACATAAATAGCTAACTGGAGCAAAGATGTTTATTTTTGAAGTGGGAGATGTTGCTCCTGCGACAATGTTTTATTATAATGATTTTGATCCTCAACCTGCAATCTTTACACCAAGACAAGACTCCCCTTGATTTCAGTGCAAGCTTTGTCTGACTAAGGATTTCAGAATTAGCTCTTTGCTTTTATTTTTATTGAAAAACAAGCCTGCACTTGACAAGGAAAAAACAGTAAGTGGATCATGTCAGAGAGACAAGTTCCTATGAGAAATTTCTAGCAGGAAAAACACAGCTTTTTGATTACATGGCAGGAAGCTGCAAGGTTAAAGCTTCAAGAGTTTTCTGGGAGAAAAAGATGCTAATGCACTAATGTGAAGGGTACCTATTCCATCAGGGAAAAAAGTGCAACCCAGCACACACCTCTGCTTCCTCTCTGTCAGAGACTGCACAAATGAGTAAAGGTGGTAGCAATGAAATTAATAAAATATAAACATTGGGAAAATATTTCCACAAAAATTTAAAACATCCATGGAAATACATCCATTTTGATCTAAGGATTTGAGCTGAAGAATACACATCAGTCTAGACGTATTTCATGCCACCAAAAGGGCCCTGATCCCAAGGAGGATTTAATCCTGCACAGGAGTGGCAGCTCTGCACCAGAGCACTTCCCTCCAGGAGAACCACCTAAAAACGTGCCATTTGCAGGGAGGAGCCACATGGCAATCAAAGCCTGCAAAGATGGGGAGCACATAAAGCTCTACAGCTAACAGTGATTGCAGAGACATGGAAATGGCAGCAGAGGGGCTGGGGTGTGCCTGCCCAGGGCGGGGGGCTGCCCACCAGCTCTGCAATACTGGGATGGAACAGGTAAATGCACAGCTGGGCCTTCATTCAGGACTTGCACCCTGCCCCCCCGCATCAGTGAACCCCTAAAAAAACCTAGGACAAGGTGTCAGCAGGACAGGGGCATCTACTGCCTGGTCCGGCAAACAGGAGCAAACAGAGTGTTTGGATGGGTTTGGTGACTGGGGATTTTTGGAGGGGGAGTGCAGTTTGGGAGCCATGGGGTTTTGTCCTGCTTTACGTACAAAATTTCCCCTGGAAGCAGAGGGCTGTGAACGTGTCGCTCAGCCCGCAGCTGCTTGCTGAGCCCTGGTATGTGCTTCAGTGCCCGCTGATGCAGCTGGGTGCTCCCAGAAGTTCGTCCCAGCTCTCGTTTGTCTGAAAGTCTCGTTTGACACAAAATCGGGACGCAGGCACAGACACAGCAAGGTGAAATGTGCGGGTGTGTTCTCCAGAGGGGTGGGGGCGGTGAGATGCCACACTGGGGAGCAGCAGCCCCGTTGCCCAGAAGAGGGGTCAGGAGCCTGAATTAAGTAACTCGGTGTTCCCAGGCACCGGATTTCAGAGGTGGGGAGCAGTGCCAGCCGAGCCTGCTGCTTCTCCAGCTCTCGGCGTGGGCAGCAGGCAGGAGACAAGGACCCTGGCAGGGCGGGTGTTCCCCCGCAGAAGGCTGCACCAAACACCCATCTTCAGAAGCGCAGGTTCACCAGCACCGCGCTGTAAAAGCGAGCTGTCAGCTCACCCTTACCGCAAGCTGACAGCCCCTTTCAATGAGAACGTGCCGCCCTCTCGATCCTGCTTTTTCAACAGAAAACCCCGGGGTCAGTGTGTTTAATGAAACTCATCCCACCACAGGCGTGGAGCGCAGGCACTGTCCCCAGGCCAGCAGAGCGCG